TATAATTTATTGAATATTGACATATAATAACGAATAAAACGAGAATTACAAAGATGATGCACATGGTTAACATCAAAACTACAACGTCACAATTGCATAACAAATATATACTGGCACGAAATTTACAATTCTACAAGAATATATGATTAAAAAAACAGGCATAAAAACATTATGAAGTCTAACATACAGTTATCAGGTTACGATGGCAAGACTATACATGTGATTACAGCACGAGTGAATAGAATACGAATGGGATTGTAAAATATTGGATGCATTAATCGTAAACAGTAACAAGATGCCTTTGTTAGGAAGATCATAGTTATACTTGAAAGATTAATAGGTATGATGGATGTGGATCATAAAGACGAGTTGGCGAATTTGTTATCTAATTGCGAATCAAAGCTAACTAATATACCTCTCATGAAGACGCAAGTTAGATTACAGTTAAAGCAAAACGCTAAGTAAAAATTCATACCACTGAGAAGGGTATCTTACTCTAGAATAGACATTATAACTAAAGAATTAAATGGCTAGAACTAGAAAACAAGATCATCGAGCCAGTGAAAGATGTTATGAGCCAATTTACATCAGTCTAAAAACAATGGGAGTCTTAGGCTGTGCATTGATTTCAAGGATACTGTTTAACCAGCTCTTGATGATTTTTAATATCCTATACCTAGAATCAACGATTTAATTGCCAAATTAGCGAAAGGCAGCAAATAGATTTCAAACAAGCCCCTTCAAATTCCCAATCATATTGACTCTAGATATTTACTTATAATTACCACGCATAAGGGATACTTCAGGTTCACAAGATATGACTTAAAACGTCTTCTGCCATGTTTCAATAGACAATTAAACGGGTATTAGAGATTTAAAAGATGTAATATTCTATATAGATGACTTATAAATCATAGGTGATAACGACTACACTAGGAGAATATTAAGAAAGTATTTGAAAGGATTTTTAAATATAAATTAACACCTAATTTTGACAAAAGTTTATTTCTGAAAGATAAAATACGATTTTTGGGACACGAAATAGACAAAGATTGTATACATCTGAACTATAACAAAATCAAAGCAATCATAGACATTCCCGAAAGATTTCAAAAGAACTTTCCACTTTTTTAGGCATAGCTAGCTAAACATAAAATTTTAAAACATTGCGGATCTGGTAGATCCACTGTATAAAGTAATCAATGAAGGTAAATGGACTTAGGATATAGAGCATCATGAATGCTATAAAAAATTAAAAACTAAATCAAGTAGGCTCCTACGTTGAACATTTTTAATACAGACCCTATAGGTATAGCTGCCCATCCGTCTATACATGGCTTAGGAGCTATCTTATTTCATATAGAAGGAGATGACAAAAAATGGCGATAGCCCTTGTTTCAAAATCCTTATTAAAATCTGAAAAAAACTACATCAACATCGAAAGCGAGGCTTTAGCAATCATTTTTGCAATGAAAAGATTCCAGGAGTATCTAATCAGAACAAATTTATAATTTTCACCTATTATAAGTGTGGTTTAATTGGAATTAAACGGATAAAGTATTTGGTGAATGATAAGTATATATGTGATATATATTTGAATGTAAAATAAATGTTATCATAATACTAAGAGTGATGCATATACAATTTAAGTATTTAATTGTAATGGTTAAATATATATATATTGGTTTAAGTCTGATATTTTAGATATATATATATAAATTTGGTATGGATTTATATGATATATGGGTATAAGTTTGATATTTTTGGTATATATATATAAATTTGGTATGGATTTATATGATATATTGGTAGAAATTATGGTACTTAATATATATTTTTTTAAATTCTGAAATCTTATTAATATATTTTTTTTATTAAATTTTTATATTTAATATATTTTTTTTTATGAAATCTTTATATATATATTTTTTAAATTATAAGATTTTATAAAAAATTTTATTTGCATGTATTAAAGGAAAATATTTATATGGATAAGGTCAGTCATGTGTTGATGGGTATGCCTTAAGATGGAAATATTGTTTCGTTTAAATACTTGAGAAAGTTTTTTAAAAAAAAAAAAAATTTTTATTTATAAATTTATTTTGTGTATTACATTTTTTTTTATCCATTATATTCTCAATTTTTGTTACTTTGCATTCTACATTTCTGTGAATTGGTGCTAATTGTGATGGTATGGTTAAATAGACATGGTATATTTTTCCTAGGATACTGAGTAATTCCTAGATGAAAAGTATTTTATTGTTTACGTATTATATATTTTTCCTCCCTATAAAATATTAAATATATTTCTATATATATTCATTGTAATTTGGTTAAAATCTTGGTTCAATAATTTTCGCAATTATTCTTAATACCTTAAAATGGATTTTTCTTATTTTAAGAGATATTTATAAAAGATGGAATTTTTTTTACATGACCGAAGGAAAGTTACATGTTGTTGAAATTGCATTTCACACATAAACCATTTGTCCACATTACAGTATTATACTTAAAATCATTATTTCCTAATTCCCATTAATCAGACCCCGAATAATGTATACTATAACTCATATTTCCAAATGTATTTAAATGAATGAGTTATTTTGTTTTGCTTGTATATTATATTGTCACTATTACTGCTCCATAGATTATAAATATGGATACCACGATATAAATGTCATTATGGTGATTTTTTTTAACGATTATATATTGAAATATATCGAAGATATTATACTCTAACTAAATCATCATAAAAGGAGACGATTCGATAAATTCCCTGAACGTTTTCAAGGCGTACGAGAGTTGCTACAAGTCAAATGGAAGATTCGATACAATACCACCAGGGAGGGAGGGACGCTGGGCTTGTGAAGGGTGGGAATGTTGTAGCCGTTAAAAAAAAGAAGAAATAAATTAAATGTCAGTCATTTACTGACATGAGGATTAATTTTTCCTAGGGGATAGGAGTCGAAAGGAGTGATCACACGAGGTTTTGGTGAAGAACAATGGATCTTTCTTTGTGTGCCTTTTGGGGTGGAGAAGATATGGAAGCTGGATAGTTTATAATAATTATTATTATATTTGATAACTGTTGTATATTATTAAATAGTTTATGATCTTAATTAGATATTTTTATGAATAAAATGGACGTTTACAACTTAGAATTTTACATTTTACAATTGAAATATCAAATATTAAATATGGACTTTTGCAATAAGTTTTTGATCTATATTAAGGTTTAGTAGAAAATCTAGTCAATTATACAGAAGTGGAACATTGCAATGTGCAACTTCTAAATAAGACATGGAGCGGATAAACACAACACGGTACCAGATTGTTTATTATCTAGATTGCCATTAACACCTTCAGAGAAAAAAAATACACATTATGGCTGATAAGAAAATAATGACTTAACCCCTCTCCCCTAGAGAAAACGTTTAAAAGACTCAAAAGTGACTTTATATCAAATAAATACCATGAATATGTATATTTTATGCAGGCCTGATAATTTTGTTCATGGGTGATATAAAGGTTAAGACTTAAAACATTATTCGTGAAATCTCTAGGCTTGAGCAATATTTTTTTGGCTAAAATATTGAGTTAGCTGTTTATAAAAATCGGCTCATATCGAGCCGTTTAACAACACTAACTAAAATGATCAATAATTCTAGGACTTATATATTATAAGAAAAACAAATATGATTTTTAAGATAAACCCGGCCGAAGTCTGGGCAAAAGAGCCGAAGGCCCTTAAAAGGGGGTCTGTGAAACGAAGCTCCACATGCCTTTATATGTATGGACCCCCTCTAAGGAAAATTCTTAATCCTAGCTACGCCACTGGCTGAGACCCAAGCTGATGTCGAAAAATAAGACCCAATCAGACCCAGGCGCGTACGCAGGATATTTGATCTGGGGGGGGGGGGGTATAATAAATTTTTTGAGAAATATTATTGTTTTTTAAAAATATCAAGCATAAATTTATTAGGACTAATAACTATTCCTAATACACAATTTTAAATTAATGTGAATTATAAAAAAATTATATGTAAAGAATCACTTAAATGACCCAAAATAGAAATTTAAATTTTTTGAGCCTTTACACCAAAAGTTTCTTAGGAATAATTGTATTTTGTATGTTATATATTTACAATGTAATATCCAATATTCGTTAGAATTGAGCTAATTTTTCAATTATCTCATCCTTGCTTGTCATCAAATGCCTATGAATATTCAAAAAATTAAAACCTTTCAATCTACTTTCACATGTTGTACTTCTTGGTATGTTTTTCAGAGACATGCAGGCCCGGTGTAATGTTTTAAAAATACTCCATTTTTTTATATACTCCAATATTTAGTGATATTGACGTTTATGACTGACGTGCATATATTAAATATTACATTTTTAGTGATATTGACGTTTATGACTGACATATAAATATTAAATATAATAAATTTAGTCAATTGGCATTTATAACTGACGTATGAATAATAAAAATTACCTATGATATTTAAGGCAATTAAAAATACTCCATTTTTTTATATACTCCTATATTTAGTGATATTGACGTTTATGACTGACGTGCATATATTAAATATTACATTTTTAGTGATATTGACGTTTATGACTGACATATAAATATTAAATATAATAAATTTAGTGAATTGGCATTTATAACTGACGTATGAATAATAAATATTATTTTTTCTATGTCCTATGATATTTAAGGCAATTTTGCCTTATTCTCTTTAGAAATTATTAGATTTAATATTAAGTGTTAAAAATTTATATATTTATTTAAGGTTTAATTCGAAAATATCAAAGATTAACATATAAATCTTGCACTATCTATTATCACGTTACTGCTCAAAGTTAGAAACAATTTTCAGAATAATTTATTAAAATCCTTTATTTAATTTGTAATTATAAAGATAAAAAAATCAATTAATAATATATGCGATATAAATAATATATGCTATATGCAATATAAATAATATATGCTATATGCGATATAAATATTAATTAAAATTAATTATGCGATCAATATGTTCGCTATGATTTATTAAATAAATATTTACATTAAATTTTTTAATATTACTTAATTTTTTAATGGGCATATAGTATGCCCATTTATAAATAGTATGTATTAAAATATTTGTCTGGAGCATAGTTGTCATTGCAACTATCTCCACCTCTGTACCATAAACGGCATTTTGAGCCATGCCCGTCCTCTCCGGCGGGGCACCTATTAAATTAAAAAATTGATTTTATCAAATCTTAAAAATGTTACCAAAAGGTCGAATGTCATTAGGCTCTAGCATTTTCGATGCTTTTTCTGGTGTCTTAACTCCATCATCTAAAAAAATATGTATATTAGATTTTTTTTATTATACCTTTTTTGTTTATACAATTATAATCCTCTCCAACTATCGAATTTAGTATATTCATAACTAGATATTTTCAAAAAGGATTTAATATTAAATATATGAAAATATTACCCTTCATATGATTTTCTTCCGCATTAAGCTTTAGATTTTTAATAGCTGGTTCTTGAAAATTTTCATCATCATCTAAAAAATAGGAATATTATTTAATAATAAAATCCATTGTATACCTTTTATGGTACTAGAATGAAACTTTTCACTTGACCTAGGAACTGTTTAAAGTTATTTAATAAATTTTTAAAAGTATTAACATTTTTTCTGTCCTGATTTAATTGTGTCATCTTGATAAATATATAAATATATAATTAATTTTTTTTTAAACTATACCTTTTCTTGTAACATCTAAAAAATAATATTGAAAAATAAAAAATAACAAAGAAAATATTTAATGAGAATTTGTGTTGTGATGATTTAATGACACATATTGACGATTAAATTTAAACCCATTCATGTATAATTATATTGCTAGCAGAAATAATTAAAATAACACATTTGTATTTATGTACATTATGTATAGATATTGATAATTAATATTAAGATGGGTATTTGCTGTTTTGATAATTGAGTTTGAAATGTTTAACCATGAGTCATTATTGTTGATTTGATTCAAATTATGTAGAAAATTATTTGCTGGGGTTGGTAAATTAAGATTAGAGATATTATATTTTTTAAGGATTATAGGAGTATATTTGTTTGAGGGTTTGAAGTATGTGTGATATTTATTGTTTCTTTGTTTATAAAAAGTTGATTATTTAAAGTAGCAAAACCAATAAGAGAATTAGTGATTTCATTACATAATTTCATGTTAAGGTCTCCTCCAATGATGATAAAGTGATTTTTATTGATATCTATAAAATATAAAAGATTAAATAGGCCTGTTTTCCATTCAAATAAAGATATGGCATTCCATTATTTCTCGGAGATGGCATTTTAAAGGCAAATATTTTAAATGTATCTTGAAGAAAATATATAAAACAATTTAACATCAGCCATTTTCCCGCAGACGATTTTTTCATCTGGTACCAAGCATCATGCACATATTTTTAACACAAAAATATGATTCCGCCTTTACAAGCCATAAAGCGACAATTTGAGATTGTCCATGACTATCTATTACAAGTAGAATAAACAGTGGCATACCTAGATTGTTTAATTTGTAGGTAGCATCAATGAATATCACCTCAGGATAATATTTAAGATAATGGAGCATGCTAGAATCTTGAAAGTAAATGCCCAACAATTCACTATCATTTTCTAGTTCCACCACAGCTCCATTATCTTCCCTGAGTTGATTTATTACATCAAGTAATACATTATCAGATGGCTTGTTTAATTTGGCTGAAATATTATGAATATCTCTCAGAGTCATCATCTGACCTGAATTAAGAACATATTCTTGTATTTTCACCTTATTAGCTTTAAAAGTGATAGCTTGCTCCACAATTTGTTTTTTTTATTGGAGAAAGCCTTCTTTGTTTAGAGAGCATCTCATATAGTTTTTTATTTTGATTATATAAATCATGTTAGTTAAAAATCAAATAAATATGTCTAACCTAGATCATGGTTTTTATGATCTTTTACAAATGTGACAATATCTAAAGAATACACATTTAGTTTATCACACTGAAGAAAGACTGTGAACATAAAAATACATTGCTTGCGAAGACTAGATGAGGATCTTATACCTCTAGACTTATTTTTTTTTCAGTCCATATTTACATATATAATAAACTCGATTATATTTATATTGAGCTATAAATGCTTTGCTATAAGGTTCCTTTAATAAGTCTGATTTATTAATAACTATGTTAAAAAAAAATTCTTTTTCATATATAGATATGGCATCGTTTAATTCATGTATAGAATTAAATTTAGTATTAAGATATAATGACATAATTAAAATAAATATATAAAACTATAGTGTAAAATATATTAATATGAACCTGTTTTTAAATCTTTAGCTTCTTGAATCAATAATAAATCTTTAGCTTCTTGAATCAATAATAAATCTTTAGCTTCTTTTATTTTCTAAAATAAAATAAAATTTATAATGTAAAATATATTAATATGAACCTGTTTTTAAATCTTTAGCTTCTTGAATCAATGATTAGCTTCTTGAATCAATGATATATCTTTTCTTTTCTAAAATAAAATATATAATGTAAAATATATTAATATGAACCTGTATTTTTAAATCTTTAGCTTCTTGAATCAATAATAAATCTTTAGCTTCTTGAATCAATGATAAATTTGTAGCTTCTTTTATTTTCTATAATAAAATAAAATTTATAATGTAAAATATATGAATATGAACCTGTATTTATTTTTTAAAATGGAGTTTAAAAAAGGCGCCAACGGGGCAAATATCCTTTACGACCTAAAAAATTTGACTGGAAATTCAAAAAAATCGCCTCAGCATCATCAGCTCCAGAATAATGTTTCTTGATTGACATGAGCACTTTTTCAAAAAAATATCATTATAAAAATTACATTGATCTAAATATACTCTGATATGTAAATACATTATAAACGAACAATATGATCTGAAAATACTCCACAAATAAGCTTAAAGGAGTATATAAAAAAATGGAGTATTTTTAAAACGTTACACCGGGCCCAAAATTTTTTTAAAAAAACATCCAAGCTGGGCTGTATTTTTTAAAACAGCCTATATTTGAAATCGTTATTATTAGCTATAAAAATCAAAAATAAATATAATTTATTTTTAAAAAATCCAGGCCGGGCCTGAAAATTTTATTTTAAAAAAAGCCGGGCAGAGCCTGTAAATTTTAAAAAAAAGGAGCGGCCTAATTTTTTTTTTAAAAATAACGTAAAAAATCTTAAAAAAAAATCCGGGCCGTGACCTGCAAATAGTACTTCTGATGGCCTCTGTTATTCTTCTTAAAAAAGAGAGTGTTCTCTCATTAGTTTAGTAATGGGAAGAGTTTATCCCTTTTAATACATTGGGAATTTAATCTAAAATGTGTTTGAAATAATGCAGAGCATCCATAGCATTTTTTGGGACTATATCAACTATAGTTAATTTTATAAACATAGTTATTCAGCTAGTAAGGCATCTTAAGATACTTTAACATCTTCATAATAAAAATCTAACAAATATTTTTTTTTCTATCACCATCTGAAAAAGGTTGGGAAGGCTTTTGTGGAAGTAATATTTGCAGATGTAAGTGCTGCATGATATATTAAAAATTCATTTATTTGGGTTATAAATGTATCTGCATCTAAGATAAACTCTTCTACTGATCCTATATTCATGTATTAACGATGAGCTTGCCTTGCTGTCGAGGGAGACAAGTATTAAACACGTATAGCTCTGCTTTTGACTCAACAATAAAATATAAAATATGAAATTCTTCATTAACATTAGCCCTAATTTCCTTGAGTTCTGATAAAATGCTCTCCGCTATTCTCATCTTCTTAATCAAATCATTGTCATGTTTTTGAAAAGTAATACTTAAAATAGTTGTATAATTAAATAATACATTCGAATGAGAAATAAAATTTGGAATAAGCATTGAATCCAATAATTTTCTTGCTTCTGAGGATATATTTCTTTCAGGCCATTGTAATATTTCAGTAATAGCAAATAATCTCTTCTAACTCCTTAATAGCTGTTAGTGCTTGATGGATGAGGCTCTATCTCGTTGGACAAGGTTGCAATTTCTTTTTCCCTGTTGGACCAGAAGTTTCAGAAATAATTATTATTTGACTAGAAATTTGAAAATGGTAGATAAATATTACGCCACTAAAAATTTGAAAATAATAAGTAAATATTACGCCGGAAAACTTGAAATCGAAATTAATTGATAAAATAACTTATGAATGTGATAATAAATGTAATATAATATATATTTAATATGAGATACGAATAAATATTAACAAATATAAATTAATATAAACAATAATATTTTTGAAAAATATATCCGGCATCTGCATTTTTTGGCTTTTTTTTTCGCTGCGTACGCCAATGATCAGACCTAATAGGGACTCTTGAGCTGGCCCATCCCTTGATTGACCCTGTAAGTAGATGATTAATATTGAATATATAAATACATAATTGAATAATTAGTAATAATTATGAATTTCATTTATGATAAGTTGTGCGGATTATGACATTGTCATCCAACAAATAAAGGATGTCTGTCAATTGTTTTTTTCTTACGTTCTCAGTTTAATAACAAATGAAGCAAATATTCGTAGAAAAAGTTGACCCTTATAAAATATTTTCTCTAATTTCTGATGGTGATAACGAAAAAAATTGCTTATTAGAGAAGAGTTTTATATATTTTTCTTCTAATGATAATGATATAAAAGGTAGTATGTCAATAGACACATACTTCTTGAATGAGAAATCGAAATCCAAATATATTTCATGGTTCAATAAATTAAACAAAGTTTCCAAAAAGCATAAAACTATGGGGCCTGTAGTTCTAATTATTACTAGTTCTGCTATTAGGGCAGTCAATCTAAGGAGGGAATTAAAGAATATTTTTAAAAAATATGGCATGGATATCAATATAGCCAAATTATTTGGCAAGCATATTAAATTAGAAGATCAAATGTCATATTTAAATAAAAATCTTAAACCTATTCATATGGCCATTGGTACTCCTGGTAGATTAAGGAAGATATTAGAGATGGATAATTCAATAAAACTTGATTGCCTTAGGAGAGTGGTGGTTGATTGGAGTTGGCATGATTCAAAATTAAGAACCATTTATCACATGCAAGAAGTATTTGAAGATTTAATTATTATTCTTAAAACACATATATTTGTATATATTTTGAATAACAAATCACATATAAAAATTGTTATGATATAAGTTTAACAATAAATTATGTCTGCCTTTTATTACAAAGATTATGTTAATTTATTTATTATATTTTGATATGAATGGTATGCCAATTTAAGATCTGCAGGCCCAGCTCATATACAGCATGAGCCTGGCCCGAGCAAGTTTTCCGAGCCAGGGTAGGTCTATTTTTTTTAAAAATAATTTTGGCTCAGGCAGGGTTAGACCTAATATATTTTTTTTTTAAATTGACTGGGTTAGGCCTTAATTTTAAATATGATATTTTTTATATTTTGTCAAATAAATTGATATATTTTAAAATTCTCCAAGTAACAAGATACTAATGTTTTTTTAATATAAAAATTATATAAATTTTTTTATATTTAAATAAATTGGGCTTGGTGGACAAATAATTTTTATTTGGACCACACTTCTCTGGATAAATAAGTAAAACTTCATTTGGCTGGCTGGCAGGACATACTTTTTTTAAAAAAATCTTTATATCCAGCTGAGCTTGAAAAATTTGACCTGATTCAAATCATTAATGTTATATTATATTCAAAGGTTATTTTAATGTTTGAGATACTAATCTTATATGTAAAATATGAGGCCAAATATTGAGGAGAAAGACTTGATATCTATTTTGCATGCAAATTTTGCTTTCTTCAGCATTCTTGAAATGAGGTTGATAGATTTCAGCCAACTGAAGAAAATTTTTAGAAGTCTTGGAAAAGTCGATGATAACTCGTGGTGATCTGTCTGATTTGGGTATGACATATAGGTGCGAGAAGATTTGATTGTTCTTAACTTCTTTGATGACACCAATAGTTGGTTCACGATAGATTCGTATCTTTCAGCCAATACTTGATTGAATTGGTGCCGAATTTATCTGCCCTCGTTGTCACGGATTTTTGCATGATCCAATCTACGTTTGAATCCCCTGGATGCTACCACTAGTATGAAGAGAGGGCCCGTTAGCGAGATCAGCGTCTATATAGATTTTGCACCGCAGTTGACCATGCTCTTGATGATATAATTCATTATGGGAAGAAAGAGAAGTCGATTCCACCTGGGGACCAATGAGATGATAGATGTTATCTCTTCCTTTGAGCGGAGTTCTTATAGGACCAGGAGTCTGAGGATGGATTATCGATCATCCACTCATGGATGCCTGAGTCATCCAACATCAGGGAGACGATGTCCGACGAGGACTCAGGTTGGCGAGTGGCAACAGAAACTTCGGATGGTAGCGAAGGACTTGAAGGATCATAAGCATGCTGCATCGGATGTCTGTAGAATTGGGAGAGGAATGAGATGTGAAGGAATAATA